ATGGTCATGGACTCTAAGCCATTGGAACTATGAGTCTCAAATTAAATGTTCTCTTTTATAAGTTTCTTTGGTTATGATGTCTCTTCATAGTTCCCATGGAGGCCAGAAGAGAATGTCAGATCCCCTGGAGCTGGAGTTACAGGTGGCTGTGAGTCACATGATGTGGATACTCATGGGACCTCTGAAAGAGCATCTAGCGTTCTCAATCACTGAGCCCTCTGTCCTGCCTCAACACATCCACTTTTAAATCTGGTGGGGAAGTCACGGTGACAGGAGTGTAAAGTTGTTGGTTCCATTGTACCCTGAGTTGAGAAGAAGAGAGCAATGATGATGCTGGTGATGCTGGTGTTCATCTCTCTTTCTCCATCTGTTCATCCTGGGATCCCAGCTCATGGGATGGTGACACCCACAGTTAGGGGGATTCTTTCCCACTCACCTAGACACTCTTTCACAGACACTCCAGAGGTGTATCCATTAGGTGAGTCTAGATTCAGTCAGCTCAGTCACAATGTCCTGACCTTTAATGTTCCATCCAGGTAACTGTGCCCAATAGCATCCTTGTTCAATTCTGGTTCTTGGCTACAATTTCCTATCTGTGTTTACTTTGTTTAGATTTGACTCCATTCTGTCTGCTCTGCTGTGGCAATTATCACATTTGTATCGTGGATAAATAAGAATCTGGGAAAACGAATAGGCTGATGGATGTTTATTCGGGAAGAAATCACTTACCCCAGAAACAGATGATCGCCAGCAGGTTCCCATCCCAAGGATGCCTCTGGATGCTCTCTGTCTCCGACCAGGAGGCAAGAGAGAATTCTGGGTTCTGGGACCCCAGACCTAGTTCCCCCAGGTCACGTCTACACCTGTCCCCATGCCCCAATGGGCGTGGTCAGTGCAACAGGTGTGGGCGGGGTGGATATCTCATTACACATTTGTCCTTATAATCTCAAATAAAGTTTTCAAGTATTTCATCTGTGTGTGAAGAGGGTGGTGAGGGAGAAAGTATTCACTGCAAAGATGGCATGGGGAAAGTTTTTGAACTCATTAAATTCTCAACATATCAAAGGGTAAATTTTAATGTATATAAATTATACCTCAGTAAACACTGAAGTCAAGGGCAACATTTGCCTCTGCTAAAGAAATGAAGATTTGCTTGAAGCTGTAACCTTGAGAGTTATCTATTTTTACATTCTTTTTTATGTATAATTTATCAAAAGGGAAGTTATACCTGAGCAGAAAGCTCAGAGGTAGGTTAGTGAGCAGGATGGGCCATTAAACTATGCCAGCAAATGAAGTCATGCTTGCTGATGACCTTCACATGTGCCTTCTTCCCCCTCCTCTCTTCTCCCCACCCTTCAGTATTCCATTATGGATGTGTATATTAACTACTTTTCTGTTGCTGTCACAGACACCATGACTGAGGCAATTCATAAAAGAAAGAGTTTAATTTGAGTCCATGATGAAGCAAAGGCATGACGGCAGAAATAACTGAGAGCTCACACTTGATCCACAAGCAGGAGGCAGAGAGAGAGAGAGAGCATGTGAATATAGCACATCTTTTGAAATCTCAGATTCCACCCCCAGTACCACAGCTCCTCCAGGGCCACATCTCCCGATCCTTCCCAAGCAGTTCCACTAACTGGGAACCAAGTATGCCAGCATGCGAACTCATAGGGGCCATTCTCATTCAAACAATCACAATGTGGGAGGGGCTTGAGAGACACCCCCCAAACCTTTGTCAGTTAATGGCTACCTAGAGAGGGAATCCTTTTCTTCTGTGGGGTAGCCAATGGTTATTTACCCATGCAACAGTCTTATAAATAGCCCCCTACCCATGTTCATGCAAACAATTCTAATTGAATCGAGAGGGAGAAGACAGAGAGAGGGAGGGAGGGAAGGAGATCTCAAGGCAGGAGGAGAATGTGCTGAGAAGTGGTTAGTGCAATAGGGTAAGAGATCATAATGGGAGCATGCATGATGAAAGCTCTTTATATTCATGTATGAAATTGTCAAAGATTAATAATTGTGGTGGTATGAATAAGATGTCCTCCCAAATTCTTCAAATACCTGGTCCCCAGTTGGTGACACTGTTTGGTGAGACTTAGGAGATATGGCCTTCCTGGAGGACATACATCACTAGAGGTGAACTTTGGGATTCATCATCCCAGTTTGCTCTGTCTGTTTCCTGTTTGTGGACTGACATGTGAGTTCTCAGTTGTTTCTGCCAAGATGCCTGGTTGCTGTCATGCTTCTCTGTTGTGATGGTGATGAACTCTTATTCCTCAGGAACCATAAGCCCCAAATATACTCTTTCTTCTTTAAGTTGTATTGGTTATGGTGTTTTATCACAGTGATCAAAAAGCAACTAATTTAATAATTAAAAATAATTCCCAACTCATGTTCTTACTTGTCTATCTAAAGGACTTGGAGGGTTTGGAGAGATGGCTCAGTGGTTAAGAGCACCCATTGCTTTTTTTTTCTTTCTTTTGGGACAGGGTATTTCTGTGTAGCCCTGAGTGTCCTGGTGACCTTGGACACACAGAGATCTACCTGCCTCTGTCTCTTCATTGCTGGCATTAAAGGCATGGGCATCATGACCTGCTGCACTTATTGCTTTTGTAGAGTCCCCCGGCTCAACTCCCAACATCCACATGGTGGGTCCAAACCATTTCCAGTTCCAGGGGGATCTGATGCCTCTTCTGACCTCTACAGGCACCAAGTATAACATGATACACTTACACATGTGGGCAAATCACTCATATAAATACAATTAATACATCCAAAAAACAAAACCAATTACTTATGTAACTGACAGATAAGGTTGCTAGAATTAAGTGTGTGTGTGTGTGTGTGTGTGTGTGTGTGTGTGGAAAGAAGATCTCACTATATAGTCTTGGACAGTCTCAAATTTACTCTGTAGACCAGGCTGGCCTGGAACTCATAGAGATCCACTTGCCTCTGTCCTTTGAGTGCTGGAATTAATAGCAAGAACTAACATGCCCAGCTTCGGAATTAAATCTTGTTCTCTATTTCTTTACATTAAAGAGAAGGCGCTAAAGACAAAGATGGACAATAGACTTAGCTGGTGATGTGGACAGTGGCTCAGGAGTTAGTGATGGCTCTGTGATGCCATTTGGGTGTTGGAAATTGAACCCAGCCCCCACCCACCTCCCAAGAGCAGCAGGGACCTCCAGCCTCCAGAAAGGAAGGATTTTAAATGCTTTGTTTGCTTCTTTCTTGTGCACAAGTATGTCAGGCACACTAAGGAGATATAGGAAGGGTGGGGTTCTTTTCTTCCTGGAAGGCTGCTCAGAATCAGATGGTGTAAAGTGATGCATTTTTAAGTACTAGAAACCTCACAGTATGCACTGTCTGATCAGGTGTGTACCTTTCATGACACTGTGGCAGAGAAGAAAAATTTCTTCTTTTTCTTTTCTCTTCTCTTCCTCTTCCCATCACTTTTTGTGAGTTTGCCTCAGATTTGTGAGTTTGCGTGTCTGAGGTAGCAGGAGTAATAAATTCTATACTAATCTCAGAGTCAGATGTATCAGTTCTAGCTGAGCTCCTCATGAAATCTGAATTCTGTTTTGTTCTTTGAAGGGGAGCTTTGGGAGCTTTGTTAGGAAAATGGAGCAGAAATGTTCCAAAGAAAACTAGTTCCACATGAGGAGATGTGACTGTGTTTTATTAACTTTACTCCAGGTCCCCTGGAAGTCATTGCCTGGACATTACATTGTGCAGACACAATTAAAGAGTCACAATTGGCTGCAGGTAATCTCTGTGGCAGAGTACTCACCTAGCATGTGTGAGGCCACAGGTTTGCTGGAAAAGAATATTTTTGAGGACACACACACACACACACACACACACACACACACACACACCATGTAAAAGGAGTGAAAGTAACCCAGCAAGGTAATTTCCTTTTGTAAAATGGGTGCACCACAACTCTTAACCACAGTGAGACATCTCTCCAGCCCAAAGTTTGCCATAAGCAAATGGAGCAAACAAGCCAAGCAAGCACACAGGGGATAAGACTTCAGTTAGTTTTTATGCTAATGGTGGTGGCTGTGTTTCATCTCATTGATGGGAACATGGCCTCCTAATCTGATGTGATTGGCTAATTCATAATCAGCTTAAGGAGAAGGATGTGGTAGTGAAGTCTTAGGGATGGAAGGCAAATAGACAGATATACAGGGGTTTCATTAGATAGGGGAGGTCTATAGAATATTGGCCTTTGTGGGTTAGTCATTTTGATAGGAACAAACAAACAAAACAACAACAAAAAAACCTCCCAAGTTCAATTCTTAGCATTATACAGAGAACAATAAACCAATAAAAAACCAGTAATAACTACCCTCCCAACCCCCAAAAGACCTAGCTTTCTCTTGGATTTCATTTTCTTGTTTTGCTTTGTTTTTGGTTTTTCAAGACAGTGTTTCTCTGTATTGCTTTGGAGGTTGTCCTGGAACTTGCTCTGTAGACTAGTCTGGCCTCAAACACACAGAGATCCACCTGCCTCTGCCTCCTGAAGGATTTCATTTTCTTAACAGTAAAGCAAGGTGTGTCTGAGCCTTATAAGCATTTGAGTTCCTAAGAGCTGACATTTAATTTTATCTTTAATTATGTGCATGTGTATGTCTGATTCTGTCAGACACCAGAATTGTCAGGTGCCCTGGAGTTGGAATTATGGATACTGAGAGCTGCCTGATGTGAGATTTCATACTTGAACTCAGTTCCCCTGCAGGGACAGGAACAGCAGGGCTTTTAACAGCTGAGCAAGCTCTCCAGTTCAAGAACTGACAAGAATTATGTCTAAGGCTCTATGTTGTCATCAACCTCACCATGAGGAAACCCTAGAGAGACAGTTGTCTCTAGTTTTTGAGGACTCTACTGTAAAGATAAACATCAGCCTCACTGTGGCTTATTGATTGGACTCTCCGGTCTTTAAGTTGTGATTTTTCTAACTGGAGACTTAGTATCTATTCCTTTTCAGAAGGTCAGAGTCTTTTCCTGAGTTTCTTCATGGCTGACTTCATCTCCTGGTTCAGAAGGGTATAGATCATTGGGTTTAGAACAGGGATGATGACAGTGAAGGTGATGGAGACAGCTCTGTCCATGGGGAGGGCAGTGAATGGTCGGGCACAGACATACATGCAGGGCACAAAGTGCAGGGTGACCACAGTGATGTGGGAGGTGCAGGTGGAAATGGCTTTCCTCCTGCCTTCTCCTATGTGTGACCTCAGCATTGTCATGATGACTGTGTAGGACACCAGCAGGAAGGCAAACCACAGGGTAGAGATCAAACCATTGTTAGAAATCATTAAGACCTCAAGAGCAAAGGTGTTGGTACAGGCGAGTTTGAGAACCTGTGGGACATCACAATAGAAACCATCAACAACATTGGGTCCACAGAAAGGAAGTGGGAGCAAGAGGGAGAGCTGCACAATGGAGTGAACAAAGCCCCCCATGCAGGAGGCCATGATGAGGGCGGTGCACCGCCCCTTACTCATGATGGTCACATAGTGCAGGGGCTTGGAGATGGCCATGTTATGATCAAATGCCATCACAGAGAGAGAAAAGATGTCTGCCCCACCAAGCAGGTGGAAGAAAAACATCTGAGTGAAGCAGCCGTTGAAGGAGATGGTCTTTCTTATTGAAAGGAGGTCCACTAGGACTTTTGGAACAGTGATGGAGGAGAAACAGATGTCTAAGACAGAGAGGTTGCGAAGCAGGAAGTACATGGGTGTGTGGAGGCAGGATTTCCAGGTCACTGTGACCATGATGAGGAGGTTCCCCAGCACAGTTGCTGTGTACACCAAGAACAAGAAAACAAACAAGACCAAACTCAACTCTTGGGACTGGGTTAGTCCTTCAAAAACAAATTCATTCACCCTGCTGTAATTTCTCTGTTCCATTGGCTCATGTTTCTTCTGCTTCTTATGTCACCTGGAGAGGAAATAATTTTGTAATGGAAAGTACATCAAAAAATATAAATAAATGTGGACTGTGCTTTGGGTATTAGTTTGTTCTAAAAAATGTATTACATTTGTGTGTGTGTGTGTGTGTGTGTGTGTGTGTGTGTGTGTGAGGTTACATGCCATAGAACCCTCCTGGAGATCAGAGAACAACCTATGAGTGTCAGTTCTCTTCTTCTACCATGTGGCTTCTGGGTGTTGAATTCAGATAATCAAGTTTAGTGGTAAGTGCCTTAACTCACTGAGCCACCTTGCTGGCCCTAGATTTGGTTACCTTTAGTGTTCATGTGCCTTATACCCCCTCTCCTTCACAGTCTATCCTTCTTGAGACTGACCTCTGACCCTACTGTAACCGCTGAACACTCTGGATTTCCCTGGACTTCTTTCCATCAGCACTGAACTATTTTGCTAGTTTTCCTGCTTTAGTTTCCTTTGAGGCTCAGACTACACAAATCTACTTCTCTAGTTTCATACCTAATTATTTGCTAATATATCAATAAGTTAGAAAATTTCATTGCTTGCAAACATTTTAGCGTACAAAAAGTTCAGGTATTTTTTTTTTCAGGGTAAATACTTTCTAAGACTTATTGAAAACTGAACCATATACAACCATTGAATGCATAAGCCTTAAGCCATAAGAAGGTTTTGAGAATAACATGGTAGAAAAGACAACAGGTTGAGAGACATGAGCTTTGATGCCTACCTCGGGGATGGATGGAGCCATGTGGAACAACTGTGCAATGTTTATGGGCATATGAACTCTGGAGGCTTAGTCTCTCATCAGTGAAATTCAAGCGCTGGTGACCACAGGGATGTAAGGTCTTTTTTTTTTTTAAAGACTTCTAATAACTTTACAGTTCTCAGTTACTGAATTGTGGGGTTGTTAAGCTGGCTCTTCATTCATATATCAAGGGAGTGTCAGCATCCAACAGTGTAGAATTGTTTGATTATTTTTCCTGTGACCTGAGATGATCTAGGGGATTCAACAGAATTGGGGACTAGGGAAACAATTGGGAAACATGCAGATAGGGTTAGGAGAAAGCTAAGACTCACCCAATAATTATTTCAGGATTCCCAGTCAAAAACTTAGTGGCTCCTGAGCTTGGTGGAATGAGCTGAGGTAGAGTCGATCTGTTGAAGCACCCCTTCATGGTTGCAACCTACCAAAAGCAATCCCAACACCTTGAAAGGATTGCTAAAGTGAGACTGCCTTTGTTCCTTGCTGAATTAGGGAGCTATGTAAAGCAAGGGTTTTAAAGTATGAGTTTTAACGGCAGAGACAGGCTGAAAAGTTTCTGATGAGCTTCCTGTGGTCGCAGTACCCGTAGGAAACCTTATGGAAGGGCTTACATTACAGTGTCTAAGTCACCTAAGACTTCCGCTCCCACCTCTAGCCTGACCCATATCCTAGGTTCTGAATCTGTGTTGTCCAAGAAACCACCATTGGTCTCCAGCTCCCGCTGTGAGGCCAAGATAGCGCCTCCACCGTCACTGTGAAGAAACCAGAATTCTGACAAAGGGACTAAAATAAAAGTATTCAAGACCCTGATGTAAGGTCTTTATAGTCCACAACCACATTCGATAAACTTGTCCAAGTCCTTCTAGCCTTTGGGGCTTTAATATTAAAGTGTTTTAAACAGTGTTGTCCTCAGTTACTAGGTAAGAAGGCAAGGCTGTATTCTGCCCATGACTTAAAAGCACTTAGCTGTTAATTTGTCATAAACTCAACTAGCCAGGTTTTGTCCCAGACTCTGAACTTGAGGCTGATGGGTGTTAGTAAAAAAAAAAAATAAAAAACAAAAAACAAACAAACAAAAACCCTTGCTGAGATCAAGAATTTCTAGAAACAGTTTATAGCTGTAGAAGAAAGGTGGCCATTTTCCATGGCAATTGAGCCTTCAGGAGGTAGAGCCGAGTGGTTATTGGGACCTTGGCCCAAGTCTCTGTCTTCCTGCATCATTCCTGAGTTCCTGCATCATTCCTGAGGTGAGCCGCCTCTCTGCTGTGTGTTCCCACTGTGAAATTGTGTGCAGTGAAGTCATAAGCAGAGACTCACTGGGCCATGTGACCATGAACTGAATGAAACCTATGAAAGTGTGAGCTGATTTCTAGATGTTTAATCATTTCTCAGTCACTCAGAATTTCTACATTTCTCTATCTGAAAATAGAGGAACTAAAAATAAAATTAAGGGCTGTTAAGTGTGACAATTCTTTGTATTGAATGTTTTTCAGTAGATGCTGTCTCTGATCATTACTATGGACTGAATTCAGACATAAATATCTCTTACTGCTGAGCCCATCTTTTCAATATTGTTTAGACATATTGATAGAATAATTATCATGAAGCATTGCAGATGTCACAATGAGGAGAGGCTACCAAAACATGCATAACTAAAGAAACAAAAGGAATGGTTAAATAGAGATGGTCTAGGTATTCAGTTCATGAGTATGTGTCTCTAGTCAAGGGGTTCTTGCTTTGGGACCACACTTTAACTTCAGTTCTTAGTAAGGTCAGGGGCTGTTAGCACTGAAATTATAGTCTTGTCTCTTCCTGACCTTGTCTGGGTTTAGGAGCAGCCATACTCTTTGAGGAGAATTTCTGAGATTCTGAAATCTCTCCTGGGAACATTCCTTAGGCCCAGAGGTATTTGGCCCACTGATTTCCTGTCATAAGAACTAACTTCAGGCCTTAAATATTCCAATTCTTGGTGCCCAGAGACAGACAAGGAAAACAAACAGAATTTTTAAAAATAATGTTTTCATGGGTGTTTATCTCTCTCGTATATGATATGCTAACTGTAATAGAAAATGTCTAACTTATAGTGTACTGCTTAAACATCACTGGAAAAAATCTATTCAACTAGGTATCATGAGCCTATTGAGAAGACCCAGGTTGTTCTATACATAAGGGTAGAGAAAGTGTTTATGACATATTAGTTGAAAGAAACAGGTTGCAAAAAAATTTATATATATATATGTATATATACATATATATATTAGGATTTATTTATAGGATGAGTTAATTGTTTATAAAAATTCTCAAGGCTGAGGGGTCTCCAGTAACCCTCTTCTGTGGGCTCCAGTCTGTCCTCTTGGACCTCAGTCCCTTCCTCCTGCTTTCTTACACTAACCAAGCCTCAGGGGCCAGGCCTTCCCGGGGAGGGCCTCCACTCTTCTGGGACTCTCCCAGCCATGGGCCCTCTTTGAGATGGAGAGGGCAGAGTGGGCCTTGGGACTTAGCTCTCTGTTCATTTGTATAAATGAATGGGATTTTAATAGTGCCCGCCCATGTAATCACTGTCATAGTCAGAGTCTCCTCCAGCGCCACCCTTTTGCCTCATTTATTTCACTCTTTATTAGGGTTCTACCTTGTGCCCTTGGTTCCTACTTCAGGTTCCTGTTTATAAGTCCCATCCCTTCTGAATCCAACTTCTGTGTAGGGAAAAAACCTGTCTCAGTAAACCCTTTGGAGTAGGATAGGCTCCCCAGGCCATCTGTCAAGGGGACAGGGGGTTTTGGGGAGGGCCAATCCTTCTGATTGTCTGAGTGGAGTCTGAGGAGAGGGGTAGACTGGGGTTCTGCAGTGGAGTGGGCGGGGGTGGAGTTGTCTGTCAAGGCAGTGGAAGGGCAGAAGTGGGGGCCAGGACCGAGTCTCTGCAAGCCCTTGCTTCCTGTCCCTAAACATGTCTTCTCAGGGGCAGTGAACTGGTGAACAGATGCTGTGTTGTGGCAACAAACAGTTTAGTTGAAGAAGAAAAAAATTCTCAAGCTCATGACAAATGAATCTCTTATAAATTTACTGAGGGAGATTTACATATTGTATGACCATGTACATATCCCCATTGCTTGCTTATCTAACAATTACCTATTGTTCACTGTTTTGTCCTTTTAAACAATAGTGGGTAAGGGTTAAGTTTGACATAGGGACTCCTTCCCCTATAGCACAGATTGCTCTCAGATCTTCAGCGTGCTAGGCAAGCCCTCCACCACTGAGCTAAGCTAGCTCTCTCTCTAGCTCTCTATGTGCATTTATTATGCAGTATCTAAACTACCATAGAGTTATGCTTAAGACCATCTTGTTTTATGATTCCTATTATGTCTCTTATTCTTCAGTTGGTCAGGATTATAAAGGTGTTTGTGAAGAGATCAATACAGAAATAATATGAACAAAAAAAAATATAAGGGCAGCTCTGAGACCAGCATCAAGTTCATATCCAGATCATCTTACAGGGTTGAGGGACTAGTAAGTTCCCATTGATAGCCAGTGTCACTCAAAGGCAAGAGATGGAGCATTGACAAAGCCTGAATACTGTGTTACAGATGAGGAAATCTAGATGAGGAGAAGAGAAGCCTTTAGTTCCCCCTCCCCACTCCCCAAAGTTAACCATCCGGTGGATTTGGATTATTCAGAATTCTTGTGTGTTGAATGGGGAGTCTTCAGAATGGAACCCTCACTGCAACCTCTGTGCTAGGTGTTTGGGGCAGTTCAGGGGGTTGAAGTGAATGAAGCAGGAAGAACTGCAGATGAGAAGCCTTTGTTGTACCTTGGGCCCCTGCCTGTGGAAGATCAGTGAATTGAGAAGTAGATATGACTTGAATGGTGGGATGTGTGTAGCTGATTAACTGCACATGAAAGAGAACTAAGGGATGGATTAAAAGTACTTTCTATGCTTTCTGTTTTAAAAAATGTAACAGGACCAACAGCCTGAGGTTCTGTAAAGAAATGAGCCTGGAAAGTGACCAAATGCCAACTCAATGGGCAAATATCAAGCTGATAACCTTTTATATTCAACAACAGAAACCAAGAAATGTAATTAATCAGAACTCCTGGGCATGTATGTATCACATTGGAGCTTAATAAGGAAACCAGGTGTAAGAATTTTTCCTTTGTTTGTTTTTGGAAAGAAACATTCACAATCCCAAGTCTTTGTTACTAATAT